CGTGCTTCGATCATGTGAGTGACCAGTTGCGAAAAATGTCTAATTGATAAACCGCTGCTCCGCAACTGGGGGAAGGGGAGTGTATCATTTTCCTATAAAGGGTTAGGGGATTTCAAGGAAATCAGATTTAGGTTAAATCTACGGAAAGGCAACAAACCAGCAGTAGATATTTATTGGCCCACAACTCCTGTAAAAGGTTAATGCTTAACATGTATTTGCACTGAATAGGTTCGTCATATTTCCAAGCTGATGCGGTCTAGGTAATAGATTTTACTTTCATAGCATAAATGTCAGGAAATGCAGTGAAAAGATGAAATTCATCAGCCACTAATAAGATTCAGTTTATTCCTAGATATACATTTTGAAAATTTCAAATGCAGATGTATTGCACGAATACTATGCACCTCTATGGGGAGTGTGATGTTATTTTACTGCTTTATTATTGGCGAATCATACAATTTTGTGAAATTCACTATAGATATCTGAGTTCAGATTTGAATTTCAAAAAATCGCTATTAATGTTAAAAAGCCTTTTTCAGTCACAATGCACTCCTCAAACATTCCATTCCTGGTGAACAATCAGTACGTCTAAGAGCAAATATTGTGAAAATTCTGAGACTGAACTCAATCTATTCGAACAGGAGTCGTAAAATATCTCTGGGAATGTTTAGAACACGCGCTCGGCTTCAATAATCTCTGGTGAAGAGGAACAATTAGACCGTGCACGTTGCATACCGTGTTTCAGTAAAAGTTGAAACTCGGAATAGGCAATTGTTAATTATGGAATAAATGCAAAGGCCTTCTTTGAGACTAACGCGAATGGCCGAATAAAAAGCTCCATTTTGGGTATGGTAAACTTGCATAGTCTGTCCTCCACCCCCTGTTAAACTTCTCTACATATTGTGATCCGATTGAAATGTGTTCACACTGGGTGGTTTGGAAGTCGCCTCCTCAGCCGAGAAAGACAGTGCACATGTTTGTGCAGCAGACCGAATATTGTGTGTGCATCATTTCATGTGCATGTTTTGAGCGGCATATCAATTTCATTTACGTCCCAGTTTCCCTTCAGATCATCCAAATTCAAACGGGCTTGATATTTTTCATTGGTGTTGTAGCACCAAGTTGAGAAGAACAGATAAAAAATTCTTAAATCATTCAATGTAAGTGTTCGTGCTTTTTCAGTTCTGACTTCTGGAAGGTTTACGCTTGTTCATGGGGTATGTACCCCTCGAATCGATATATGCGGGTTCAACTGTTTGTCATTATCAAATCCAGAGGGTATTAGTTGAACGAATAAAATGCGTTATTTGATGAGGGAAACGCCCCACCAACCCCACGTGCACCTTTGACATTGGATTGAACTGTATGCACCATGCACCTCGCTATGCACTGTCCATATACACACGTATTTCTTTCCATTCAAAGTATGGTTAGTTTTATGAATGTTACTCAGCATGTTAGTATTTATCCAAATAAAAAACTATTCCACCAAAATACTTTTTCCACATCGAAGACCATTTGTAAATTACTAAACGTCAAAGATATTTTCATTCTTCGTGGAATCAAAATGATTTGGAACAATCAGATTTATTGGTTAATTTTTTGATTGTATACAAGCCAATAACAGAATAAATAGTGATATAATATTAAACCTGAACAGCAAACTCACAAGTCACCTAATTGAATTCCATTCAGATATGCTTTTTCTGCGTTACAACAAACGTTTTTCATAGATTTGGTCTACGAGATCAGAATGAATGAATGAATGAACGAATTTCCACCGCGTGTTGTCTTTTCAAAATATTTTCGGTCTATATTCAGCTTGCTACTCGTTTGTTTGAGGACACCGGCAGAATCGATTTTGTACTTGGTGCAAAAATGTGCCGCTGTGCACCATGGGTGTGCGTGCCTGTATACACAAATACATGCGTGAGAATACGGCCCCACTAGAACGCACGCAGCCTTAGTGATCGTCGAGAATAATCGAACGCTCATTGTTTTTTTCGTTGGCGAGACGACACTTTGCAGTGAAGCGATGCTGGGATTTCAGAGAGCTATTTTGTACTAATTGTTAAAGAAAGGATCCATCAGATACTGCGTACATCCTTCCGAGAAAGATGGCGATTGTTTAAGGACTGATGGTATCTCCCGTGGTAAATAGACAACTGAAAGTTTATTTAGATTACCAACTTATACAAACGCCGAAATTTCCATGCAGATCAAATGCTTGTTAGTTAGTTGAACAACATCTGTAGTGTAAGCATTCTTCCGTTTGTGGTTTATGAGGGCAACATACAAGATAAGGTTTCTTGTGGAAACTAATGATAAAATTCTGATGGCCAAGTGTTTTATTGCTCAACAGATATATTCATGTTCCTTACTTGAAATGATAAAAGAACAACAAGTTTATTCTGGAAAAGCAAACAGTTATAAATATTTGTGTTACTCCCCCTTCCTCGATAGAGTTGTTGCGGCAACAAATTTATATTCGTAAACAAAACAAAGCCTGGTTCCACCGTATTGGCTGTCCCACGGATCAGAGTTTTGTTGTCAAACTGAAGCAGACTTTGAACGCTGTACAGGAATAACTGGATAAATCAAACATTTTCATTCAGTAAATTTTCCAGAAAAGAACACTCGTGCAATAGACTACCTAAGATCCAGTCTCATGCACTCACCGTGTTCGCAACTGCTGCTCTAACTCGCGTCGTGCTCTCGGAAATGGTGTGACTGCAAATAGAAAGGTTCACCGGCTGAGACCAGCAACACACAATACCACCAATTGCTCAGACTTACCGGATAACATGCGATTGTTATCATCGTTATTCCTTCACCCCACGCACCCAGGTTAATCTCGTACTTCATGCGCCAATTGACCCGGGTATTTTTTGCAAGAAGATACGGGTTCACGACAGTTATCACTTTCTTTAGCAGAGCTCCCTCTGTAGTGCATCAGCCGAGATGCTATTACATTTTGGCATCATAAGAAATAAGTGGCCATAATGCCCTGATCAAAAGGGCTACAGTGCGAAACTGACCGATGGAAAAATAGGATGTTGCGTGTGTTAGAGAGTGAATATACCTTGTATCAAACCTCAGGTTGTACGAAGAAGTGAAAACAGCCGGAACTTTATGCACGTCTTTTAATGGTTTTCCACTAGCACTTTCAACCAGGTGGCCCTTGTTGAACGTGCCGCACTCGATAGGTTTTTTGACTGTTTGATAGTAGTTACTCGATGATTTCAGAAAAGTGACGAAGTTCATCATTTATGGAGACTTAATTCTAGCGCAGTAGTCGGTTGCGTTTCCGTTGTTCCGGGAGGCCTCTATCAATATCTTCTCTGGGATGGCTAGTCAAAATTGAGTGACATGTTGTTGAAGCACACTCAGCTATTGAATGTTACATCACCACAGTTATCGGTTTTTTGTTAGCGAAAATGCAACGGTAGTGCCTGCTCGTCAGCATATATTTCACTTGGAGAATCTCGTTATATGGTTGGTTATGGAATACACTTGATTTTACCAATAATTCGACCGATCCTCCGCGTCTGAGAGCTATTATTTAGAATTTTGATCAGGAAAAACAAGAGAGGTATCTGTTTTTAGGTAACAGACTCACCGCATTTAGCTTTTATCTACATATTGTATAAAAACTGTAAACATTTTTGTGTCCTCAAAGGCTGGATATTTCAAATGCAGTATAACAACCCAAAATTATTTCTTCCTTAATCGGTAGAATGTTCTTTTTGGACAAAACCGCTTCTATGAAAATTACTCAACAATTAAAAAAATACCAGAAAGGGATGGCTATCGATAGACAATATTCCTTCTCTCTTTTGGTTGATTTATTAACTGGAAATCGTCAAACCTGCTAAGTGATTACGAACTCACGTGTTTATTACGAGATTCACATGGTTGACTTCAACACGTTTGATTGGCATACGTTCTTTCTAGCGCTCCAATGCACTGCTTGATGCTAACTATAAATGCGATTCGGGAACAGCAAAACAAGTCGATAAGACCTCTGATGTGATGCAATTCTTTTCATCTTGATAACTAGCTGCTTAATCAGATCAGGAGAAAAGGGTGCCTAATGCGGTATTGGTATTTGGCATCGGTCAGATTATCAGTAGATTTCCGAAACAAGTAATGAATAATTTTAATGGATCATTTTAGCCAACCCCTGTCTATGTTGATTTCTCGATAATATGACAGACGTTAGAAGAGCTCCTGTTTCATACTGGATGAGTGAGTTTTACGCTGCAATACTGCACATTTGTAGAAGTGTGTTTCCAAAAAGCGTTCAAACTGTTGAATAATCACTTTTATCTCTGTTCTCAAGTGGTATTGACTTCAGTAGAAAATTCATCTTCAGTTCAATGAGTTTTAATCGGTACGACTACTGATCCGGTTTCGGTTGGCATTGCAGAAAAGTTAGAGTAAAACGAATTCAAAGTTTGGAACAGATTTGAATGATGTAGAAAACCATTGTGTGTAAAAGAATGAGCTGTTGCATGATTGACACACCTCCACATAACACAGACACTGTTTAGGCTGATTCCGAAATGCCCAAATGGGAAGTTTGGTATAAGTTACGTAACCAAACTTTTGGTTAAAGGTATTCGCGCTTACCCACCACATACCAGCCTGACTGTCATATACAAAAAACAACAGTCGTCAACACATATCTCTACTAGCGTTACTTTCATCATCATCCGAGTCATCATCAGCCTTATTATCACCATCATTATCACCATCATTATCATCATCTGGATCATCATCGTTATCATCAGCAAAATGAAGGACACAGTCATCAGCTTGTGGATGGAAAGTAAAACCGAAATTCGAGAGAAAACTCTTAACAGGTAGAACCTGATAGGTTTTCTGAGTTCTGAATAATGTAACTACGTTTTTTTAAATGGTATATTTAATTCCTCCTCGTACGATATATCGTTTGTGTTCAATGGTTTCATTTGGTTTTGTTTTTTATATATTTTTAGGGCTTCCCCTGTTTCCGGGCGAGGATGAAGCAGATCAACTGGCCTGTATTATGGAAATCTTGGGACCCCCACCGATAGATCTAATCCAGAACAGTCCACATATTGATCGATTTTTCGTGAAATATCGATCTGAGAGATCAAAATCTAGCGATATCCTAAACTTCGTCGATAGAATGAACAACGGAGTACGGTCGGACGTGACCTATTTGCCCAGATATTGTTTTATTCGCTATCCAGAAGGTGGAGGCTCACCCGAACTGTTGCCGGGTGTTTCAAAACGAACCGGAAATGTCCGAGGTGTTCCCGGCAGTATGCCGCTGCTTAAAGCTATATTAGAGCCACGACATCGGCGTTTTCGTCGTAAAGATCCACAGAGTATGGCTAATTTGACCAGTACTTCAAACTTTTGTAAATCACCTGAGGAAGAAGCTGCCCTAATGAAAGACAACGAATTGCTCCTGGGATTTATGTTGTCATGTCTCACCTGGTCCCCATCCGAGCGCGTTAAACCATGCAGAGCAATTCAAAATATGTGGTTACGTAATTTCTCCAAGAAAACTACGTCTGTTGCACATTCTAGCTCAGTGGCAAACCCATCGGATTCAATGTCCAGTGCTAGAATTCGCAGCATGGAAGTGTCTCAATTTATCTCGATTAAACCGAACGACGTGCACAATGGAAATTTGGAAAGCCGAAATACCGCTCCCAAGGAACTTCCAGTTCTTGTACCCCGTCGACGTAAACGCCTGGGCAATTTGTTTTCCGAAAGTCTTCTTTTTCGGCCAACAATTAATTTGGATATAGACAGAACGACACTAAGTACTAATGCACCAAATACAACCACAGGTGAAACCAAAGGGAATCCGGAAGCTGACCCATCTGGGAAAATGTCCCGTTCGCCACCTAGGTTCACCAAGATTATTTCCCCTGGACACTTCTCCGCAGGAGGCTTTGAGGGTGTTAGTACGGGTATTTCTGGAGGTGGTGCAGGTGCTCTTGGCGGTAGTACAGGAGGAGGTTTAACAATTAATACCATATCAATTTCCCCAAATAAATCTCTAAAAACCTCTGAACCATCGAGTCATTTTCCTGATGACCCACAATCTAATTCATCCAGCAAGCGAGTAACGTTGATTTATCCCCCAGAACCAAATGTTTATGATAATCGACCAGATGACAGGCATCAAATTAATCAGTCCATGGAGAATTTATCTATGAAAACGACGCAAACCAAGCCGGTTCTTCGCTCCCGTGGTAGCATGCCATTGAATACGGTTGGTGTGAACTATTCATTTGGACACAACGAGTCACTTGGTGCATCCAGTCGCTACGCAAACAAAAATGAGACAAATGGTCCTGCCACTCAAAGTGCCCGAAACTCACAGGTGATCTTTCACAGTTCCACTGGAATGCGCCCGTTCTCCGAGTACTATAACAAGACGGAAGCCGAGTCTACGAATCAGGACGGGTGCAGTCAAGATCAGTCGGCAAAACTGAGCGGTTCTGTACCTTATTTAAACTCTACCACAACTATTGAGAAACCTGTGATCAGTAGACAAACCTATCGTCAAGCTCCACCGTACACACAAGAGTATAACACATCCGGATACAGTACAAACCAATCAAATCACGCACAGCAAGTACTGATCAAGAAACTGACAGAACAACCGCTCTATTCAACTGTGACAAGCACACCTTCGACGTCCACAAACTGCTCACGACTTTTGCATGTAATTCGTCCAATTAATGCACACAAGTCCAGTCCTCCTTCAACTAACGGACATCACCAGCATCATCATCACCAACTGAATTCAAATGAGCCCCGTCTAATTCGAATCAGTAATGCACGCCAGGCAAATATGATTCAGATAACTGATGACGTTGAAGCACATGATGGAAACAACAGCTCCTGGGATTCCGAAAAGTCGTCCAGTTCGTACAAATCCATCGCCCGACTGGATCCCCTGGCTCCCGACATCGTATCCAAACCGGCAACGCATGATGTCGTCCTTGTGNTGAATCCGTCTCATACTACTGGGCGATCAGATAGTATGACTAATCTCAATGCCTACACCAGTGTATGGGCTCCGCAACCATATTATCAACCTTCTCATCTGAATAATGTGGTCTATCGACGTGTGAGTGGCTCTTATCACCGTGGCCCAACAATCGAAATTCAACCTTACTCTCATTTTCCCGACTATTAGTAACGAATGGCTTTGTTCAATTATGGTTACCACCGCGTTCCATGTATAGGATTTGTTGACTTATATACTCTCAAATATTTTTATTACCTGCAAATAGGGAAACTTCTGAGTCCATTACAATGTCTCATTTAACCACACCTCTCCCAAACCACTTCTGCCTTATCTTGGACTCAAATTTGTCCGGTATTAAATTTTATATCACCCAGCTCTTCCTTTTTCAGGCTGTTTACCTCAAACAAAACTCTATGTAACTGGTTAATCCAAAAATGTGAAAAACAGATTTAAATTGTTATCTTATGTTTGTATCAATTTATATGTATTATCTCATCATATGTACTCGCTTCAAACCTTATACTTCTTTAATTTGCTACAATGTCCCTTTGGGTACATTCATATGAGGTCGCCTTGTATTCCGTCGATCTTTGTCCTAGGGCACGTTTCATGCTCGATCGACTTTGTGGCCTTATCAAATGTTAATGACAGTTATAACTACCTACGGCAAAGGAATTTCTGTCTCCACAAACCGCGTTTCGGTCGCGCAAACAGTCTTTCAACTGAAAACACAAACTTGGCCAACGGTCCGTATTTTTCTATAATATCATTTCTATTCATTCATTCATTCGTTCACTCATTCATTTGTCCAGTCACTCATTCACTGCCCGACTCCTCCAGTCTGACCCGCCAAGTGCCCCCCCCCCTCCAGACCCCGCAGCCACACCGAAATGCGCTCAAGTCGAACTAACCGGTCATACAATCTGACCTGGTTCCACCGTCCGGTATAAAAGTGACTTTCAAGTTCGACAGAGGTGTGTTTATCACATACGTGCGTCCGTGCAAGCCAGCACTTGCTCTCGTACCGCGTGCACAAGTCCGCTCATATACCAGCACACACACACACACACGCCCAAGCTTGGATACAATGTACCGGACACACATACGGGCACATACAAAAATACACATGCCAGCAGCATGTCCGAGCCTCTTCCTACCTGCGAATAGCTTTTTTCCTTAATTCATCGCTTACAAATAATTCTTTCGAATATACGTGGAGAATGAAAGTGAAAGAGATACGGAGAGAAAGTACAATGAATTGATAATGATATATTTGTGTGAAGTACACAGTTTTGGTTTTCGCCTCCCCAGGGGTTCATGTGAATCGATCATACTGTAGTTAAACCAATCGTTCCTAATTGAAAAATGTATACGCTTGCTACAATTTTCAACACCAAAAGTCTGTCCAGCGCTCCTTGATGGTCACCGTAAATCGCTGCCTGTCGCAAATGAGGAATGAGTGAATTCCCATGGAAAGCAATCCACAACTATAAACCACAATTTTGCATGAGAGTATTGAAGAATTCGATTTGAGTAGACTGTTACTTTCGTTATGTACGCAGTAAATGAAACATGAAAAGAAAGCACTGGACAGCTGCTCAGACCTAGGTGGGTCGCATTAGCAGTGAGAATTCATCAACTGAACCGGGTCGAACCCGGCAGCTCACAGCACACCTTACCATTTAATCACAGAACAGCTGATCAACCCATTTATTTTAATTTGCCTTTGCACGATATATCGCAAGCCAACTTAGCGAGCTTAAGGCAGGCATCATAGCTCTCACACTTCATCACTAAACACTGGAGTTATAACTTCGTTAGGAGCATTCCAAAGCTAACTAATGGTTGCGTGAGAGTAGTGGAGGCTTTGATCTGTTGATCAGTGGTCAATTGGGTAGTATGCTTGCATTTTATCGCGTTAGAGTCTTATTTGGGTTGATGGATTCGTACTACTGATGAAGCCCGACTAAACTGAAACAGCGGTCCAGTTCCATCTAACGTTTCAGTTTTCACATCATTTGTTCTGTGCACTTAGCCAGTGAAACGATATGCAGTGTCTGTTGTTTGACTGGCTCATCCGAATAATCCAATCTAATTGTGTTATCACCATTCAGATAGAAAATGTTGCTTTTGGTAAATTTTGTGTGTCCCCACAGATACTGTCCAGTAGAATTCCCTTGGGGGCACTCAAATTATCTTATCATACTTAAAACCGCAATATAACAAATTTGTGTTCGGTAGCCGTCCTGTAAAAAGGACCATTGCAAAGGAAATTGAAGGTCAAATAGGCATCGGTTTCAGGAAAGAAACAAAGGAAGCATCATTCTTGTGCACCGGATAGATAAATCAACCATAAAATGTATTTGAAACTTGAAATATTCTTCTCTAAATAGAAATTCGGACAATGAAGAGAAATTTGCGAAATTGCACGATGTATCTGCGGCATCACTTCCTTGCATCCCAACTGCTGCTGACTGCAGAAAATGATGTTCTGTATCCGTGTACCCTGAGTCATAATAAGAGGGAGAGGGAAATAGTCTGACACGTTCCCAGGGAGGAGTTAAGGAAACTACGTTTTCCTGACAGCACATTGTAGTTGTCCATCGACTATTGGCCGTCATCTTCACCACCCGCAATCGTAAGTTTCTGATCAGTTAAGGAATTCGGAATGAGTTATCGCAATCCACTTGATGGTGTGCTGTGAAAGGAAACCTCGCAAATGATGACGAAAAAGTTTGATAAATTCGATTATTACTCTGTGTTTATTTCGTATCATCCACTGTGCTGATATCGCGCTGCACTCATATGGTGCTCTGCTCGGTTACATAACTGACTCTCAGTTCCATCAGTTCTCATGGGTCAATAAACTCAGTGTTTTTCCGGTTTATCGGGGAGGTAAGGAAATTTTACTGCGGTCAATTGAATGACGCCTTGTATTGGCTTACCTGTAGATACGTATGAAGGAACCATAGAGAAGATATCGTTCTAAAGGTGAACCTCATAATTTCTGAGTCAGATTGCTAAATAAGATACCCAGCGAATTTCAACGCAGAAATTATCGTTTTAGTGGGGCCATCAAAGGTGATGCGAAAGAGTTATGTAAAAGCCTCTTTTTGTAGGATTCACTAGGAATACCATGGTCAGAAAAAAATGGGTGATGGATCAGTGAGTGCATTGATGTCCTCTGGGTCCAATATTTGAACATACGTATTTACCAGCCTATAAAACAGCGGCAAATAGTGTGTAACTAATAAATTAACCAATTCTCAATGGCAAAATGGCATTATGAGAAGTATATACCCAGCAGTGTCATTTTATTTCTCCCAAACAAAACATATGTCGGTTCCTTTGCCCCAATAATCTTGATTTTTCCAACTGGCCCTACTGTAAAGGTGAGAAGCAACCCCTTGAGACCAACGATCTCTATCTTTGCAACATGCGCCTAAACCGTGCTGTATATCCTTCACACTCCGATCCACCTGGATCCTTCAATGTTCAGTGTTCTTCAATGTTCTTCAGTTAGAGGCAGAGGGTAATTTCCCGTATGAGCCTCAATCACCACAGACTCGAAGATCTCATTCATGATAGATCTGCGTACCACATTGTTCGCAGGACGCTGTCGAGCTTCCTCTTGAACATCTTATCATTGACCACTTCCACCACGTCAGCTGGAAGGGAGTTTTAAAGATTGGTTACCCTTCGCGATAGCCAGAACCGAAGAGGTAATCCTACGGACGAACGCTTCAACAGCGTAAGTCCATGTCCACGAGTCCTGGTCTGCTCGCTCAGAGGGAAATACTCCATCAACTCAGGACCCATGTCGCCGCGAAGAATACGTCTCACACAGATGATATCACCCCGTACTCGGCGATAGGACTCCGGA